TGGAGCCCTCACCGCCTCCCAAGGTCATCGGTTCCATTGTCGTACTGCTCTAACAGTTGAGAAGTTTTTCCTGATAATCAACCTAAACCTGGATTTCTGTCACTTGAGCCTATTGTTGTGTGTCCTGGTCTCTGGGATGATAGAGAACAGATTGTGCTCCTCCTCTATAAGACAGCCTTTCCAGTATCTGAAAAATGCTATCCTATCTCCCCTCGGTCTTCTTTTCTCAAGGCTTAACCAGCCCAGTTATTTCATTCTGTCCTCAGAGTCCTTGGTTTCCATTCCACTCATCATCCCTGTTCTTCTCCTCTGAACTTGCTCCAGTCTGTTGGCATCCTTCTTGACGTGTGGTGTCCAGATATGGACACAGTACTCTAGGTGAGACCTATGTTATCATGACTTGCTCTCCACTCTGATGTCAGCATGTAGCCTATATTGTCTTACAATGCCATCATCTCTGGCTGGCTAAGGGTCATCAGTGTGATTTATCTCAGAAGAAACCTTCTCTCACCTTGAATGGTCTCATTTCCCTTCAGCAACACCTTTATTTACACAACTTTGGACCAGCTATGGTGCTGGCCTCTGAAAGACAACTTCACTTGGTGTGAAAGCCCAAAATTCATTCAACTAACGTGACCCGAGGAGTACATTCCAAAAACCAATGACTTTTCATAGTTATTTTCAAATGTTATTTCCAAAGGGATTTCAAGGGATTTTAAGGGTGGATGTAAGTTTTATCCCATTCTCTCTTTTTTTTTTTCTTTTTATTATTATTATTCTTTATAAAATCCATCCATGCTTATTTAACATCGTGTCACCTGGGGTTCAGCTTATAATCATTCGTTAATACAACTTCAATACATATTAAGCTCTTAATCTATACAACGTGCTTCTAACCATTGATAAAACAAGTTCCCTGTTTGATAATATTCTGCATCTTCCTTTCCTTTGATTTTCAGTGTCAGTCTATCCATTTCAGCGCAGTCCAATATCTTTTTAATTATTTCTTGATCTGTAGGTGTTTCTTCATTTTTCCCGTATTGTGCGAATATAATCCTCGCAGCTCTTAAAATATGCAGTATTAAATATACATTTTGTTTATCAACACTTTCTGGTATTATACCATCTCCCACCAGAGATGGACTTTTAACTTAGTGCCTTCTTGGCCCTAAATAACTCTTATGACCATCTCTATGATTCAAAAGCATTTGGTATGCAGAACTGGGTTCGTGAGCTATCCTTCCTCAAATTCATAAAAGAGCATATCCTTACAACTTATTCTTCTCCTCCTCCACCACCACCGATACCCCATCTGTGGTTTACCCCTCGACAACAACCCTTTGAGGTGGGCCATTCTGGAAGAGAGCCAGAGGCCATCCAGTGGTCATCTCGCCTCACTGAGGACTCGAATCCGCGTTTCCCTTATCCCGATCCGTGCACTCCCACCAGACTTGACTTTTCAATTTGAATTCAGCGTCTAGACCATGGAGACTCATGACACTGACGTCACAGCAATAACGAACCAGCCCTGGGTTTTCATCCGAACTTCACAAAAGCTCTCTAGGGCCTTGAGCCTATTTGTAGGATGTGCATATTTCTGGGATGTGCTTACCAGAACTGGCCACTAGAAGGAGCCAGTTGGGGGTTCAGAACCTCAGGGGTCTCATGTCAAGTTCAGGATAAAACCCGCAGTGGATTCACATCACTCTTCTAAGCTCAAAGTCTGTAGCCTCTGGTGCCAGCACCTTGTCTCGATGCAAATCTTGGGCTTTTCCACACCAGTGTTTTAACCAGGTTGCCGCTTACTGTTCTCATCCGTGCTTTTTGATTTGGCGTCCCCGCCCTCCTGCAAACTCTGCTCTCCAAAGAAAGCCTACGAAAACAAAATCTCTCCTTTATCAAAGTTGCACAGAGGAGTCTCAGCTTTTCCAACTCTGACCTCTAGTGCTGCCAGAGTAGAATACAACGTGAAGCCAACTTACACGCAGGCAAGTCTTTATTATACACTTGCTGAATTAATCCATTTAAATCAAACAGGGCAACCGGTAGGTATTAATGACATGACTGTTTGTTCTTGAAAGAGAATTTACCTAAGGTTCACAGGTTGGGACCTGGATAAATTCCCAGCTGTCATGCAATGCGCTCTGAATGTTACGAATGCTGAATGTGTGCTCGAGTCCACCACCATCATCACCCCGATTCTCCATGCCATACACTACGTGTGCCTTCTTAACATGTTGAAGCTTGTAGGGCATGTTTATGTTGTCAATTAACACCAAGCAAGATAACCGAAAGAACAAATGATAGATAGATAGATAGATATAGACAGACAGACAGACAGACAGACAGACAGACAGAC